CCCCCCCCCCCCACAAAACAAAAAAAAAAAAAAAACAACCAAAACATTTAACCCCCCCCCCCCCACACACAAAAAAAAACCCCGTGCACATACAAGAATCAGGACGGGAGCATTCAATGTGAATTCCTTGATACGAGGCTACACAAATTCCATCGGAGAAATAGCGTGTATTCAGGCTGTTCTTTCCTTCTTCGACCCCCCCCCCCTCTCACACGCTCTACATAGCGCTGGAGACTGGCGATCTCACGGTAGAAGGAGGCGACTGGTGAGTGGTGTGGCTATGGTGAACAAATCTGAGCGCGTGTGGGCTCGCACAGTACCAGCAAACATTGCTCGTGCCTCACCCCTACCTGACCCAAGGGGTACAATGATAAAAAGATTATTAAAAAAAAAGGAAAACAAAATAGTTTATTTAAAATGGAACAGCCACACTCCCCCGTTTACGACATTCCACGCGCGAGGTGCATCCATTCTTGAGCGGGTCAGTGCGTTCTGCGCTGGCGCATGTTTACGATAATGGTATTTATTTGGTTGGTGAGGTTGGCGTAAGGGTTGCTAAGGTTGTACTTTACCTTCAGCCTCGACGTTGTCCAAATACAAATACCGGTAATACAGAAATGATGACGCCTGCTTGCACCCTGCTCCATTAAACCAGAAGTCAAGAGAAGACCAAGATCTTACGTTAGGAGCTACTGAAAGAGATGACAACAAATCAGACAGTTGAAACAATAAGACATGTCCTTTGGCAGGGGCGGATTTAGGGGGGGGGGGGTTGTGTGTGGGTGTGTTGTAGGAGGAACACGCTCAGCACCAATCATTTTTAGACACATAAGGTGAAGTCTCCATTGAAGACACACATGATAGTGATCAGTCTCAATTGAAGACACATATGATATTGATGAGTCTCAATTGAAGACACATATGATATTGCTGAGTCTCAATTGAAGACACATACGATATTGATGAGTCTCAATTGAAGACACATGATATTGATGAATCTCAATTGAAGACACATATGATATTGATGAGTCTCAATTGAAGACACATATGATATTGCTGAGTCTCAATTGAAGACACATGATATTGATGAGTCTCAGTTGAAGACATGATAATGATATGCATTGCATAAATTGGTTAAATCATGGGTGACACTCTCTACCAATAGATTTGTTCTGCCCTGTGATTTTCTTCTGTAGCTGTCACTGGCCCACTGTCATGTTTAATAGGTGAGGGTTTAGTGAAGTTGTTTTCTGGAGCTGTCACTGGCCCACTGTCATGTTTAATAGGTGAGGGTTTAGTGAAGTTGTTTTCTGGAGCTGTCACTGGCCCACTGTCATGTTTAATAGGTGAGGGTTTAGTGAAGTTGTTTTCTGGCACTGGCCCACTGTCATGTTTAATAGGTGAGGGTTTAATGAAGTTGTTTTCTGGAGCTGTCACTGGCCCACTGTCATGTTTAATAGGTGAGGGTTTAGTGAAGTTGTTTTCTGGTGCTGTCACTGGCCCACTGTCATGTTTAATAGGTGAGGGTTAAGTGAAGTTGTTTTCTGGAGCTGTCACTGGACCACTGTCATGTTTAATAGGTGAGGGTTTAGTGAAGTTGTTTTCTGGAGCTGTCACTGGCCCACTGTCATGTTTAATAGGTGAGGGTTTAGTGAAGTTGTTTTCTGGAGCTGTCACTGGACCACTGTCATGTTTAATAGGTGAGGGTTTAGTGAAGTTATTTTCTGGAGCTGTCACTGGCCCACTGTCATGTTTAATAGGTGAGGGTTTAGTGAAGTTATTTTCTGGTTAACCCGTGGCCTTCATGAAGTGCTCGTGGCCTGCATGAAGTGCTCGTGGCCTGCATGAAGTGCTCTTGGCCTGCATGAAGTGCTCGTGGCCTGCATGAAGTGCTCGTGGCCTGCATGAAGTGCCCGTGACCTGCATGAAGTGCTCGGGGCCTGCATGAAGTGCATATCTGCATGAAGTGCTCATTATGTTAGAGAAAAAAATGCAGTTTCTTTTTACTTAATTTCATGGCAAACCTCTTAGCTTGTTGTACTTAAAGGGCAAGCCTTGTAGCGTCTGTCTCCAATGTGACATTTGAATCAATTGATTGTGCCCTAACCCTCTAGCCTGTGACCAGTGTTCAGTTGATGAGGACACTTTTGTTTTATGTCCTGCAATTGACTACAGTTAACAAATATTTCTTCTGCACTTCTTGTCCAAGTCTTAACACCATGGCTCCAAGCACACCCTCCCCCTATATCTCCCAGGTTCACATCCTTACTCGCCTACGCAGAACCCCCTCCATCCCCTAAATACCAGAACCATCCAAAGCCCACCCACTCTTTACCTCCTATCTCCTCTTCCCGCTCCACCATATCCCTTACAACTATCCCCTTAGTGAAACAATCTCCTTACACAACCCTTACTCCAACTTTATCCTTACTCCAACTATATCCACACTACAAATAGCCCATAACTTCAACTATATCCACACTACAAATAGCCCATAACTTCAACTATATCCTTACTCCGACTATCTCCTTAATCCAACTATATCCTTTCTCCAACTATATCCGGACTCCAATAATCCTCTTACTCCAACTATCCCATTACTCCAAATATCCCCTTACTCTAAATATCCCTTACTCCAACTATCCCCTTACTCCAACAATATACTTACTCCAACTATCCCATTACTCCAACTATATCAATACTCTGACTAATCCCCATAACCCAACTATATCCTTACTCCAACTATATTCTTACTCCAAATATATCTGTACTCCAACTATCCCTTTACTCAACCAATATCCTTTCCCCAACTATATCCTTACTCCAACTATACCCTTACTCTAACTATCTAATTACTCCAGTTATATCCTTACTTAAACTATATTCTTACTCCAACTATCTCGCTACTTCAACTAACTCCTAACTCCAACTAACCCCCCTACTACAACTATATTCTTACTCTAACAAATTCCCCTTATTCCATCTAATCCCCTTACTCCAACTGCCCCCCCCCCCACCCCCATATACCCCATATATCCTTACTTAAACTATATTCTTACTCCAACTATCTCGCTACTTCAACCAACTCCTAACTCCCACTAACCCCCCTACTACAACTATATTCTTACCCTAACAAATTCCCCTTATTCCATCTAATCCCCTTACTCCAACTGCCCCCCCCCCCAACCCCATATACCCCATACACTTTCTACACTACTTGTCCACAAGAGCAAAAGAATTGATGACTTTTCCAAACTTCATAAATCCACATTTCTGCCAGTGCACCATTTTGTCAATGCTCAGCAACTAACAGACGAAAAAGAAACTAGTGGAAACATATAGGTTGGAACATCAATCAAATGTTAAACATGTGAAGATTTCTTGGAAATAACACCCCCCTAACCCTTTTTTTCCCCTTCCTTTTAAGTTTGTTCCCCTTCCTTTTAATTTTTTAAAATTCCAACATAAAATCAATATCATGTTTTCAGAACTTCTTATTGTGTTGAAGTGAATATATTTATCACCTTCCCACATAACACAAATATCATCTATTCAAAACTTCTTATTGTGTTAAAGTGAATATATTTATCACCTTCCAACATAAAATCAATATCATGTTTTCAGAACTTCTTATTGTGTTGAAGTGAATATATTTATCACCTTCCAACATAAAATCAATATCATGTTTTCAGAACTTCTTATTGTGTTGAAGTGAATATATTTATCACCTGAAGACAACTTACTTCTTAACTAGAATTTTGCCCCTTCATAAAGATTGTGGACTGCCTCTAGCTGTGGTATGCTTATTGCTGGGATGCAACGGCTGCCCAGGAACAGCATATTCAAATATTTAAGTAGCAGCTGTAACCTGACCCTAATTAGACATATGTAAGGATTTAAATGGATATTCTGAAGATTTTTTAAAGAAAATATCTTGTTTTCAGATAAGAAATTTCATTTTATGTTTGTGTTGTTTCAGACAGCACAACGGAACTGAATGGTCTTGTTGAAGACAAAGAGGTGGCAGCCCGAGCTGTGGCTTTTGTAGTCAACAGTACCAGGAAAGGGATTGTGCCACTATGTGCTGACATTGCCAATCTACTTAGAGCTAAGAGAAGGTGAGATAGGGCCACTATGTGCAGACATTGCCAATCTACTTAGAGCTAAGAGAAGGTGAGATAGGGCCACTATGTGCAGACATTGCCAATCTACTTAGAGCTAAGAGAAGGTGAGATAGGGCCACTATGTGCTGACATTGTCAATCTACTTAGAGCTAAGAGAAGGTGAGATAGGGCCACTATGTGCTGACATTGCCAATCTACTTAGAGCTAAGAGAAGGTGAGATAGGGCCACTATGTGCAGACATTGTCAATGTAATTTGAGCCAAGAGAAGGTGAGATAGGGCCACTATGTGCAGACATTGCCAATCTACTTAGAGCTAAGAGAAGGTGAGATAGGGCCACTATGTGCTGACATTGCCAATCTACTTAGAGCTAAGAGAAGGTGAGATAGGGCCACTATGTGCTGACATTGCCAATCTACTTAGAGCTAAGAGAATGTGAGATAGGGCCACTATGTGCAGACATTGTCAATGTAATTTGAGCCAAGAGAAGGTGAGATAGGGCCACTATGTGCAGACATTGCCAATCTACTTAGAGCTAAGAGAAGGTGAGATAGGGCCACTATGTGCTGACATTGCCAATCTACTTAGAGCTAAGAGAAGGTGAGATAGGGCCACTATGTGCTGACATTGTCAATCTACTTAGAGCTAAGAGAAGGTGAGATAGGGCCACTATGTGCTGACATTGCCAATCTACTTAGAGCTAAGAGAAGGTGAGATAGGGCCACTATGTGCAGACATTGCCAATCTACTTAGAGCTAAGAGAAGGTGAGATAGGGCCACTATGTGCTGACATTGCCAATCTACTTAGAGCTAAGAGAAGGTGAGATAGGGCCACTATGTGCTGACATTGCCAATCTACTTAGAGCTAAGAGAATGTGAGATAGGGCCACTATGTGCAGACATTGTCAATGTAATTTGAGCCAAGAGAAGGTGAGATAGGGCCACTATGTGCAGACATTGCCAATCTACTTAGAGCTAAGAGAAGGTGAGATAGGGCCACTATAATAGGAATAAAAAAAAAAAAAAAGCCAAATACTATTTAGAAGCAACAATTTTTATTTGAACCATCATGTGTCTTCTTTTACATTGCTGACCTTATTTATTCTTATTATGTTCACTGGCTTTTTGAATTTAAATATAGTGTTTTGGTGGAGTCCTTAGCTATTATCAATGCCATAATACAGTGTTTTGGTGGAGTCCTTAGCTATTATCAATGCCATAATACAGTGTTTTGGTGGAGTTCTAGCAATTATCATTGCCATAATACTGTTTTTTGGTGGCATCCTAGCTATTATCAATGCCACAATACATTGTTTTGGTGGAGTCTTAGCTATTATCAGTGCTATAAAGGGACTGATAAGTCCATGTCATCTTTACCCTGTTTGGGGGAAGGGAAGGTGAGTTTTTGTCTTAGTTTTAGCATATTAATTAGTTACAGTGATCGAATTAGTTTCCTATTGTCCCCACACAGCGTTACATAAAACACTAAGATTCATTGGATAGCTGTCAGCAGCTAATACCCACCTCCTTTACTTCTCAACACCCGGTTCTCAATTTCATTTCTAGGTATAATCCACAACTTGGCTTATGTTGTCAAGGGGTGATGACACCAAAAAGTTGAGAACCTCTGATATAACCATTGATCCTGATATTCTAGATAGTAGAAAGCTAGAAATTGTTTCACTGGAAAGCTCTTTAGGCTTGTGCTGGTATGGGTTCACGTGAGTATGTTCTTTTATCATCATTAATAACCTTTTGGTTTATCCACAGCTTGGAAAAAAAAGTTTACCTGCTGAAGCGGGAAGTCGAAGCCCTGCGGTCATCCACATCTGTCAGTTTTCGAACCAGTCATTCCACCAGCCCCACCCCTCCATTGACAGAAAAATCCCTGGTGGCCGACACTTCTTGCCTACAGGTGATCTCAAAGTTTTTGTTTTGTTTTGTATTTTGCATGGCATTAATGAACTGTCTAATTTTAGAACAGACATCATGATAAACTGATTTCTTTGCTTCTTTAAAAAAACTTGTTTATCAAGTTAATGAGGTTTTTAACACACAACAATTTTAAACCAAACAGCATTGGTACTTTATTGAGATTCATAATGTTACTGTGACTAATTGAAACTTTGTGTTTTATTCTTGTAAAATATGTTAGTATCTACATAAAATGGCTTCAACCATTTCAAAACATAACTAGAATATTTGACCCAACGTTAAAAGGATAATATTGATCAATAAATGAAGGACTGCGATACTTTCTACCTGCTATCATGAAGTCTCATCAGAATTATTTATTTTAAAAGGAAGTATCTATTTACTTCTGTTTACCCTTCTATCTTCATTTAGTTTTGAGAAATATTTATCTGCTATATAATATAAGTCTACCATACCCTTTTCGCACCCCTGAACTACAATTTTTTTCTCTAAAAATTGTAAAAACATTATCTTAAATTTACAGAAAAAATCTATGTACCATTTTAAATATCTTTTAACTTAACTAACTTTGATATATTGGTATCTTTATTAAAAATGTAACCAAACTTTTTCCCTGTTTCTTTACTATAATGTCAGAAAATCATAAAACAAAGTATTCCATTATCTAAAGAAGAATCTCTTATGGTAATAAGGGGAAGAGACTGCAATTAGGTTAGCAAAAAAGGAATTGAGTAAAATAAAGTATGTGAAAACTTGAAAAAGGAACACAACAAAACAACGAACGTGTGGTGCAGGAAGCCTTCGTCGGCGAACAAACAACAGAAAAAAACAGAATGAAATAAAAAAACGTAGCACTTAGTTGAAAAGTAGTATCATTGGATTGAAAGATTTTGCCATTCACCTAAAAATGTACATGTCCTCTACCCTCCTCTGATATGTGTTTACAGAAGCAGGTTAATTATTGATCAAATTCATTCCTTCAGTCTGAGGCATATCTTGTGCTGCCTGGGGCAAAATGAAATTATCAAATCCTGATATCTCTCTCTCTCTCTCTCTCTTCCCTCCTCCTCCTCCCTCGTTTTTTAGTAAACATTAATAAAATCATCCACAAGATGGTAGCCCCCTACGTGCACAATTAGATATTTTTGCATGCCCCTAAACTTTTATTAAAATTCTAAAGATCCCTTTTACCCGCATTTTTAAAAATATTTTCTAAAAAAAAATAGCTCTAAGCATAATTCCATGGTTATTTAACATTGAAATCTATACAAAAGTTTTAATCTATAACATTATACAGCTTTGGATCGCAAGTTCATATGGTTCATTCTCATTTATTACTTTTATGAGTGGTAAGTGAGTTAGTCACAGGTATTACTGGCATGCAGCTATGAAGTTTGGCTGCACTAATTGGCTTAAAACGCATTTTATTATAGAAAAGTAGTTTTAAACTTTAAGTACTTATCACTTTATACATTTGATAAAAGCACAATTTTTTAGAGTGAAAACTAACTAAATCTGATTCAATGTTACAAATGCAAAGCTAAAATGTAAAATTTGGTGTCAATCAGCTTCATTATTTTCAAAAGGTATTTAAAAAAAACAAAAACAAAATTTACAGTTTTTTCTTTCTTGATTTCTCTTGTAGGAAAGATCCCGTCCCTGCTCGAGGTGTAGCCAGTGTTCAAGCAACGTCAGTAACTCTCCTAAATTGGAGAGCACTTACAGCTTTAAAAGTTATCTCCCATCCCCTTCTCTATCCAGGGAAGCATTGCGCAGGACATCCCCCAGGTTGGCTCGTCAGGTAAGTTTTCTTTCTAGAACAATTAATGAAGGATGGCGGTGGAGAGCAAACAAATATTTTATCTTCCAATAAATATTAGTTTTCATGTGAAGGTGATTTCATTTAACACTATAATTGCCACTTTGGCTGGTCCGTTATACCTTAGTCTGTGGTGTCACAGGCTAGCAAAATCTTCATGGAAAATGCAATAAATTGAAAGAATATTGGTTAAGGAGAAATCACTTGATATAAATGAGTTTATTTCCTTTTCTCTCTGTGTGTTGACATGCTTTATATGAGCGCTTGTTTTGTGATCAATGGGGTGTGAAATTTGCTAATTTTTTTTTTTATGCTGGAGAGCATCCCACTCTAAATTGCAAGATTTCTTTTTTGCAGTTATTTCAAATGGATTTAAATGAAAACAATGATTTCAGAGATATTGCAAGTGCTACTAATGACAGTATTAGCTCTAGTGGTGACAGAAGAGTCAGATATTGATAATTTTAGCACTAAGCTAAGTCATAGTGTTACAGACAAATTTGTTTGGAAAAGGTGGAAATCAAACAGAAAAGACAAAAAATTGGATCCAAACAAAGTCATTTATGTTTGTGTAGGTTCTGGAGGATTAATTTATAAAAAATAGATTTAACTCTTTCCATGCCAGGGGGTTTTCCACGTTTGTGCCAGACCATTATTCGGCCAATGGAAATTTTTTAGGGTGCTCCTATCTATTAATTAATTTTGAATACATTTCTTTTAGCAAGATAGTTTTATTTCATATCAAATTAAAGGAAATTAGACAGAGAATAATAATATGTACAATATAAAACAATATAACAACACGTTAAATGTTTTAGGTAAAATTGTGAGATCAAATTTTTTTTTATTTTTTAAATTGCACACCAAATTTGAACTTATCAGACTACCATACGGTCTGTGTAGCTGATATCCTATTCTGCTTCAATCCCCAAAAAGCATATCCATTTTTTTTCATAATACATTTTACATTTTGAAAGTATTCCATTTTGTTATAGAGTTATACCCATTTTTGTAACGTTAGGAGTATTCTTATCTGAATCCTCACTGTTGCCATAGTAACAAAGTGGTTTTGAAAAAAAAAATTCATAACTTTTGAACGACTTGAGCTAGAAAGTTGATCTGGGTGTTTTTTTAATCCATTCTCTAGGCCCTATGTGGCATTTTTATATTTTTAAAAATGTTTTGAAATTTTTATGAAATTGCCGACAGTCACCACTATTACTATTACTATCACCATTCTATTAATATTTCCATTTGGCATTTACCAACCCATCAGAATGCTGAAAATCATCATTGGAATCAGATTCAAATGATTCATGGTCATTGTCTGTTGTTTCAGCATCAATAATTAGCAATAAAAGTTCTTTTGTTTGCAAAATTGACTACCTACGTGGTCTAGCAACAGCTGACATGCTTGGAGTGGGCGTGGCCATGGGTTTGTTTACAAAAGGTTCAACACAAATTGAACTATTATTAGAAAAAACACATGCAAACCTGCCCTACTTCTTAAAAAAAGGAAGTAGTAAGAGTTATCCTTCGTTTAAGAACAAAAAAAGTCTCTTAATTACATAAATGATATCGACAGTATACTGTGGGTTGGCACAAACGCAACCAGTCAAATCGACAGTATACTGTCGATTGGCACGGAAAGAGTTAATGAGAAATTTTTGAAATCATTTCGTGCATTCCACCTTTATATTCTGTGACAGAAATTTAATGGTATTGAATGACAACAATTAACCCATTTTACAATTTTCAGTATAAATTCCTATAACTTGACATTTTCTGATATAATATTTCTTCTAGCATTTCAAAAACTTTATTGTAGGATAGTTTGAACAATTTATGGAGCATTAGGTTGGGTTGAATGCAGAAGTTGCGTAATAAAAGTTCACTCCCTCTGTAAAGCTCAACATCTCTAAATCAACATAACAAAAATAAAAACAAATTCTTCTCATACCCAAAGATACCTTGTCTAGAGTTCTTTTAGGAAATATATTCTTGTACATTTTAAGGGTCTCTGTAGGGATTGTTGTTAATTTTGACGAGCACATGAAAACCCTGAGTGTGGCTTGACGCTTCAGAGAAATGCACTTGACAGTTTTAGGGTTAACCATGTGATATCTGGAATGGTGGCATATATCAAAACTTGGCAATTTAGTGAAATTTACAAAACCCTTTTTTAAATTTAAAAATACTGTGGTTATATAGATACTATTGAATGGTTTACGAAAACTAATGATCAACTTTCTGTCTCAAGTGGTTCAAACATTGGGAATTATTTCGTGTAGGCCTCAAGTTAACTTTTTTACTAACAAAGAGTAAAATGGACTCATTTTGGGATGGTAATAAAAAAAAAGCAAGTATAGTTTTTGAAGTCACATGTACCAGGCCATCTTTCCGATAAAAAAAAAGCAAGTATGGTTTTTGAAGTCAGATGTACCAGGCCATCTTTCCAATAAAAAAAAAGCAAGTATGGTTTTTGAAGTCAGATGTACCAGGCCATCTTTCCAATAAAAAAAAAGCAAGTATGGTTTTTGAAGTCAGATGTACCAGGCCATCTTTCCAATAAAAAAAAAGCAAGTATGGTTTTTGAAGTCAGATGTACCAGGCCATCTTTCCAATAAAAAAAAAGCAAGTATGGTTTTTGAAGTCAGATGTACCAGGCCATCTTTCCAATAAAAAAAAAGCAAGTATGGTTTTTGAAGTCAGATGTACCAGGCCATCTTTCCAATAAAAAAAAAGCAAGTATGGTTTTTGAAGTCAGATGTACCAGGCCATCTTTCCAATAAAAAAAAAGCAAGTATGGTTTTTGAAGTCAGATGTACCAGGCCATCTTTCCAATAAAAAAAAAGCAAGTATAGTTTTTGCAGTCAGATGTACCAGGCCATCTTTCCATTAAAAAAAAAAGTTTTCATTCAAGACACTATTATGAATCAGAAAAGGAAATGGTGCCAGAAAAGCAACAACCTATAATGACATCAGTTAAATCTTTTGTAAAATCCGCAATCTTGGCTATTCAGCATGTGCAAATATTTTGTTAAACTTCAATTTTGTATTTGCAATCAAACATGTTCTTTGCTCAGAAACTGGCTAAAAATATTATTTTAGGTCACTCTCCTTTCTTGTATGGTGTAAATTCTTTTAATTTAACCCTTCAGCCTCCAAAGCTACCTTTCAATGGAAGTCAACAGCACATCCTTACCGCACAGGCATGCCAGGAAGTGGCAGTGTCACCATGCGTCCAGACAGCAAGGCAAGACCCGGAGCCCGGCCGAATGGAGGGGCGCAAAAATTCCCTTCCTGAAATGACAAGCGAACCCAGTGTGGAAATCAAGAGGATTAACCCAAAAATATCCAAAGAAACGCAGTGTTCCCTTCCCTTGAGAAGCGAGTCCCCTATAGAAGAACAGTTTATTGAAAGTGAGGAGTCTTTGATTTAAGCTTACTCACAAAACCATTGGTTAAATTTGCTGCAAATAGATGCATCACAAACCATTTCAACTCTGTCTTTGATTTAAGCTTACTCACAAAACCATTGGTTAAATTTGCTGCAAATAGATGCATCACAAACCATTTCAACCCTGTCTTTGATTTAAGCTTATTCACAAAACCATTGGTTAAATTTGCTGCAAATAGATGCATCACAAACCATTTCAACACTGTCTTTGATTTAAGTTTACTCACAAAACCATTGGTTAAATTTGATGCAAATAGATGCATCACAAACCATTTCAACTCTGTCTTTGATTTAAGCTTATTCACAAAACCATTGGTTAAATTTGATGCAAATAGATGCATCACAAACCATTTCAACGCTGTCTTTGATTTAAGCTTATTCACAAAACCATTGGTTAAATTTGATGCAAATAGATGCATCACAAACCATTTCAAAGCTGTCTTTGTTTTAAGCTTATTCACAAAACCATTGGTTAAATTTGCTGCAAATAGATGCATCACAAACCATTTCAACTCTGTCTTTGATTTAAGCTTACTCACAAAACCATTGGTTAATTTAGCTACAAATGGCTTGATGTACATATACATCACAAACCATTTCAACTCTGTCTTTGATTTAAGCTTACTCACAAAACCATTTGTTAATTTAGCTACAAATGGCTTGATGTACATATACATTACAAACCATTGTAATTCTATGTTAACTCATCTGCAGCTGTCAGACTAAATTCCAAGTTGGCAGAAGAGTTGGGCTCAGCAAAGAAAGAAATTGAGGTACTCAAAGGACGCCTCAAAGAACTTGAAGTGAGTCTTACAAAAGACATGTGGCATTCTTAAGTTGCTTTTACTTGCTATGATTGACAGAAGTTTTGCTTCATCTCATCCACCGCATGACTCACTTGACATGTGATTTCAATGTATGTCAATATATGGGAATTTGGGGAAGGGGGGAACCACTGATCAGGAATGCAAGATATCTATTATTTTGTTCACTAGTCATGTGAGTTTTCCTACTTTTTACCAAATGACTATTTTACCATGACCTATTTCTCAGATGAACCAGCTGGCAAGAGACTGCACACAGGATCAGTTTCCCAGGGACACAGAGCTAGAGGAGCCCAGCACAAACAGTTCATTTAATGACAGCCTAGGAGCTGCTCCAAACTCCTCACCCAAACCCATGAACAATGGTCACAGACGCTTCAAGACTAATGGGTACGGGAAATTTTAGTTTGGGCTGAGTGGATGTTTTAATAATCCAACGGCTTGGCTAAATTAAATAGGTAACCCATTTATAGTTCATGCGACTGCAAAATATCCTGATACACTGTAAGAAAAAAAGGTTATGTTATATGTGTACCCCAGGGGTTACCATTATTTATAGACATAATAAAAACCTCGTGCAAGTAATACTTGATGAGGACTTCATTTCCATCTCCTTCACTTTTTTCATATAGCTGGGGAAAACCTTAGAATATTCTAAATTTGCTGATCTAAAGAGAGTTTGATTTTGGTGGAGCTGGGTTCATGTAGCAAAACTGGGTTCATGTAGCAAAACTGGGGTCATGTAGCAAAGCTGGGTTTAGTAGCAAAACCCTAACAAAGTGTTTTGAGAAATACCTGACATGAGACTTTTTACATTTTTCTGAAAAAAAATTTAAAAACTCATACAAGGGATGCAACTTATGCAAAATTAAGCTTCATATTTTTTGTTGACTAGCCTCCCATCCTTTCTTTATTTACTGTTGATTATCTTACGAACAACAGGCTGTCAACTCAAAAGAATCCCCCAAGAGTTCCAGCGCCAGCCGGCAGCCTTCACTATGCCGAGCCCCTGTATGGTTGTAAGTGCACAGCGTGCGATGAGGCCATGGGAGGTGAGATCCACGCTGCCCTCAGTGCCAGCCTTAATGAAGATCTCCTGCAGTTCGCTGTCAAGTGAGTAAACCAAAACCTCAATGGGTCAGCTTAAAGTGAACAACATGAACTTGCAACAAAACTTGCCAGTGTTATATAGCTAGTGGCAGATTGGCAGTTTTGGACTCGTTGTTGGATCAATGTATATTTAAAGTCAATCCCCTCCTTGGAAAGCTCCTGGATCTGCCACAGGTGTAATGTAACATGATTTTTAAATTTTTATTAAAAATTAAAAAGCTATGGAACAACTATAACAATTTCTATCACTGTGCTTTGTAGTTAAACAGAGCCCTTTAATTTATCGATGAATTTATTTGACTCCCAAATTATAACTACACTTTACAACCTTTAACTATAGGTCAAACTTACTTGAAGAAACTACATTAAAAATCAAAATTATTGAAATTTTAAAAAAAGTTTATTGTCTACAGCTTAAAATGTGACTATTTAAAAAAACAATTCTCTTAAGGAATGGCATGCTTAGAATTGCTAGAGGGAAACAACTATTGAATTCATTGACTAAATATTTTTACTTTGTTAAGGGGGTAGGCTAAGTTTTTTTAAAATTAACCAACTTAGAGCTACTATTTCATTATGGTCATGAATGTAGATTTGTTTTCATGCTTTACAAGAAATAAAAATTAAATAGTTGCCATGACAACGGTGGCCATCTATTAATACCTATTAATAACACCTATTAGTAGAGTTCTAAAATGTATAAAACCATTTCAAAAATGATTGATTCACGAACTTTAAGTATACTTAGAGGTAGTGAGCTAGTTTAATTCCCTCAAGCCGTTTTTAAAACGGTGTCCCTCTATCAAATTCTTGTCACCGAAGAATTAACTTTGCTCTCGGTAATACTTATTCGGGGCTGGAATGGAATTAAGAAATTAAAAAGCATCAAATCAAAACTAATTTATTAAAATTGATCTCAAATAGCCTATTAGTGTTATTTAGATGAGTATAATTGATTGGCTTGATATTTATTTTATTATTATCAGCCCAATGAATGCTACAAATAAGAAAATGGTAGCCATAATTATATCATAATAAAACGAATAGGCTATTAATAATTTTATGCTGATTAAATAAATGAATTAAACTAAGATTAAACTCTTTGATTCCAAACATTCTAATAGAAATTATTTTACCCATTCTACTAATACTAATATGATCTTTATTTAGTGATAGTGTTATTATGTTATATATATCATTAACTGGGCCTAGTCAGTGAGTTCTAGGCTAGGCCTACTAGATTATAATTTTGTTTTGTTAGCAAAACAAAAGTAACTAGACTTAGGCATAAAGTAACTTAACAATTCACTTGATGGGTAAATATAAAAACTTTAAGTGGAAACTAATACAATTCTCCACATAAGTTAAACAATTCATGCACCATTATGGCATGGCAACACATGGACAGCACAGAAATGACATGCTCAGTAGTTCCAACCATGGGTGCCTGCAGGTAGGGGCAAGGTGGGGCACTTGCCCCACCCCCCCCCCGGATTGATTGGATAAACAAATTTTAGACAAAAATAGACAAAAAATTTATTAAAGTAAAGAGAAAATAAAGAGAAAGTAACTAAGCTAATGTCCGTTCGTTCACCACACAAATACGCTACAGTAAATTAAAACTACATTAAAACATTACTAAAAAAAATTTTTGCCCCCCCTAGAAAGTTTTCTGTGGGCGCCCATGGTCCCAACTATTGTATATCACGAAATTATAACCATATTTCTAGTATACTTACCTTGAATTGAGAGGTTTTCTTAGCGCCATTGCATAAATTCCTCTACATAATTTATTTCTAGCTTTTACCAAATCGGTAAGGGTGTAAATGTACATTTTCAAATCAAAATATGGTGATGCTTTCAGTTGTGAGGTGTAGTAATGTACACAGAACCAATGTCTGAATCACCATGTTAACAACTGCATTGAGGGTGCCCATGTCAGCGGCATCATGGTTAATCCTTATTTGGACCAATCAGAATTGGAATAATAATAAAACCAAGATAGATCTTAAATAAATTATGTTTGTGGATCTGATTATTTGTGGCAAATATAGTTACTGCCTTCGATTCTAAATTTATTTTAAAAAACTGTTTGAATTGACCTTTCCGATGATACATAATAATATCATATTATGTTATTTTAAAATAGTTTTTTGAGGTCTCAAACATGGGATACGAATGAATTTTATTTCTAAAATTAGATCAATTTTTAAAGTGGAGTAGGGAGTATCAATTGTTTCACACCATATTGTGTTTAAAATAGAAAAAAATGTCAAGTGTGGTAGGGTATTTAAAATCAATTGTTTTGACACCATATTGTGTTTAAAGTAGAAAACATTTATGTGTTGTCAAGTAGGATGGAGTATTTAATATCTATTTCTAAAATTAGATCAATTTTTAAAGTGGAGTAGGGAGTATCAATTGTTTCACACCATATTGTGTTTAAAATAGAAAAAAATGTCAAGTGTGGTAGGGTATTTAAAATCAATTGTTTTGACACCATATTGTGTTTAAAGTAGAAAACATTTATGTGTTGTCAAGTAGGATGGAGTATTTAATATCAATTGTTTGACACCATATTGTGTTTAAAGTATAAAACATTTATATGTAATCGATTCTAAGAATGTTGATCTCTGTAAAAATCAAAACATAAAAAAATTTGATAATTTTTTGAAAATTAAAACTTTTCAGTACCCCCTTAAAATTTTGCAAGATAAACTAGCTGGCTATAGATCACAATTGCTGACAGCAATAATTTCAGTTAGCTGATTAATAGCACAATGGCTGACAGCAAGACTTTAAAGATGGAAATTGAGGTGTTTATTATGCTTTATTTCCTCATCTATAGTTCGAAGGTCATTGTTCAGCTTGGCGACCATGTTGTGATTAAAGGGGAGAAAACTGGTCGTATTCGCTACATTGGTCATCTGGACAAGATAGGACAACCAAATATGGTGTTTGTTGGTCTAGAGTTAGATGCCCCTGGTAAGTAGAATTTTTTTTCTACACAGTATGGCACCTATCTTTGTGTGTGTGTGTGTGTGTGTATTAGGAAAAACAAATTTAAATCCAAGGGCCAGTTTTGTAAATTTCTTCCGACGTCAGTAGTCGAATTTTTTAAAACTTGGCTTTGACCTCCTCCCCAAGAATGGCTGCCTTATTGGGCTGATCAGTCTATTTTACGTGATTATTAGCTCTTAGCTCATAGCTGCAGCTGACCTCTTGGTAGTGAGGCAGAAAAGGCTACTTTGACACAGGGGCTGCCAACAATGTCTTCAATGTTCTGGTTAAATGTCTGCACTGAGTAGAGAGAAATCATGCTCAAACAAAAACCAACAAATTCCTTTTGGTTGCTATAGCATGATAAGTCTTATTACTTATGGTAAGAATTAAAGAAATAGCAATAGCATTATAAGTTTGATTGCTTATGGTAAGAATGAAAGAAATAGCAATAGCATGATAAGTTTGATTACTTATGGTAAGAATTAAAGAAATAGCAATAGCATGATAAGCTTTATTATTATATAGTGTAATAATTACATGATAAGTTGATTACATAGTGTAAGATGTATAGCTAAAAGTAGAAGCAATATCATGATAAGTTTCATCATGTAGTTTTATTATGACATGATAGGTTTGATGACTTAGTGTAAGAATTAAAGAAAGAATCCATAGCTAGCAGCCTAGCAAGAGAAACAAAACTATTGACCAAACTTTTTTCTTCTCATTCAGTGGGAAGTCATGATGGCTTCTTCAACAAAAAGAGATATTTTTTCTGCCAGAAAGATCATGGCATATTCCTTCCCCTCCATGACGTTATTTGTAAAGTACAACCAAAGGTGAGAAATGAGGTTATCATTGAGAACTGAGAGGAGCTTATGATTATGAGTTAGTTCTACGCTTTGTGAAATAGAACGTTAACAGAAATGATACATTTTTTTAAAGGCACAGAAGTGTTAATGCCTACGATTTCTTCATGAACCAGGTTTTAAATAGGTTAAAACAAAAATAATTGCACTTTGAATTATTAATTGGAATTCAACAGAGGGATATAATTCATTGATCTTTCAGAAATTCACCTTAGGGTAAATCCAAAAATGATGTCAAGCATCTAGGAGGGGTGGGGGGGAGGTCACAAATTGATGACAATTTTTGATAAAATGAGACAATAGGGGGGAGGACAGTTTTTAAAAAAAAAATTGGCAGAAATAGTATGGCGTCATTTATAGATGTTCCCTTAGTTGCCTGTGTCAACAATTTTGTGGCTGAAATTGATCCACATTAGAGCCAGCTAAAAAGAAATGTTTCAAGTAAGTTGTTTGAGAGCAACATTTTGTTTCAAATGAGCATCATTTTATATACTAGCAAAGTTAGGCTTCAAATAATGGTCTTCATTTCATTCCAAATTATATTGTATTTCTTTTCAAAGAATGGTTTTATGGCATAGCTCTTCTTCAAATGCTTTATTGCCTATCTACAGTTGCAAAATTTTACGGAACATCCCAGTGACAGTCCACAACCTTGTACCAGCTTGATATCTGGTGCTTTAAAATCTGCCAACAACAGGCTTGGTGGCATTTCCAAATCCACAGAAGACTCCATGGCCATGATCGGGATAGGATCAAAATCCAGCTGCAGAAAAAGCCATGGGCAGAATAGCATTGAGAGCAGTGTTCTAATGACACACCTGGATGGTGTGCAGGCAGATGAGACAAGATGGTGAGTTAGTCAATTTACGACATAGATGATGGCAATTTTAATCCCCTTGAAACGGAGCCTCTTTGGACAGTCTGTGCCAAAAAAATGGAGCCCTTTTCACAAGCTCTGCACTTACATTTATAAGAAATAAAGTGTATACTTTACTTATATAAAACTATATATTCTTGTGAGGAATTGAAAAAACTGATAAAATCTTTAAGAACCAAACTGAAATCTCAACATTTATGTAAATTAGAAATCCTCATTTGAATAATTTATGCATGCAAATAGTGTTTACACTAAGACTAA